CAAACCAAGACTCCAGTCTCCAGTCTCGCCAACGCACTGACCAATTACTGTGTGAAGTGGGTGTGAATGTCAGATTGTTGCTTTTTTCTCAAAGTTACAGAAATGGTAGGATGTTCTTAAGCTAACGTACCATCCAACAAGCATTTCTGATGGAGTATAGTGCTGCCTTAAGGCTGTGTTCAGACCAACAATAGCACTGTGTCAAAACTTACTCCTCATCAGTTCCAATGAGACCACCACGTTGGCACACCAGGGTCCGACATAGTAGGCAAGGTAGTCAGGCAAGTTGTTGAACCTGGCTTTCTTTTTTCCACAGAACAATCCAAAGTCAGCTTGCATTACACTTAGTGGGGCTATCAAATAAGCGCACATTGCAAGTAAATTACCTTGTAGCATCAATAGTATAGCATTATGTTACACGAGACATACATCAAGACAGAGGAGCCAATTATTCCTGCTGTGATAACCTTTCAGAGTTGGCTCAAATTAGTAAAAAATTGCAACATACCCACATTTACAAAGCCTCATTTTTTATAACACAGTGCTATCTCAGATTTGGATTTTCACCTTTATTGGACAGTTGACAGCATAACAACAAGAACACAAAGGGAAAGAGAGAGGTATGATATGCAATGAAGGTCCCGGTGGATTACGACCAAGGCGGTTAAATGGTATGCAACTTAACCACTTGATTTTCAATGTTTAAGTCTTATTTATGTAATATTAGGCAGGCTATAAAAAGGCTACGCGACATCAGGGCACTAATTAAGAGCTAGATACATAAGAGTTTGATACAGGCAAACATAAACATGTGACTGAACCATGTGTATGTGCATGTAAATACATATGCACACACACAACAAGTCAAGAGTTGGACCCCATGTCCAGCAACATCAGTGTTTACCCCTGTGGCTGAGGTTGTTCATTTCACTCCTTCCCTCTTGCCTCTGTGCGTCAAGCCTCCTTGATATGCCCTGCCCTGCTCTGCATGCCTGTGCACCCATTCAGAAAACTCATTTCAAATCCATCCCCGGGATCTAGCCCAGGAATAGAATTAGTAGAATAAACATGTTTATTTGAGTCGGTGGAATAGGATTACATCTTTAGTCGAGTTAATCAGGAGTTGCCGCGGTGAAGGAGCATCCTCCTAACCTTACTCAGCGGGAAAAGGGATTAAGATGACAGAAGATGTTGTAAATGTCATAGGAGAGCAGTGTTGTGTAATCATCCCTTGGGTGGACCTACAGCCAACGTTAATGCACCACACTAAAGTGCTGCTGCGTGGAATTTAGAATGAGAG